TAATTTGCTTCATCTGTATTAGTACATTTTTTCTCCTTTAATTATACTTCTTTTTCATTCCCTTTAGTGAATAACTTTCAACCCTTTTATTCTTTTTCTCCTTGATCAACAGTATTTTCCCACAGGAAGATTTCTTATATTTAATTTCAAAGTCTTCATTTTTTCCCCAAGCAAAGACATTGTCCTACAAGAAAGAATTCTAATTTATTTCAAAGTCTTATTTCAAATCCATCTAGCTCCTTAGTTCTGTTTATTACTTTCCCAAATCCATATTTAATTGTCCTACTGCTGTTTATTCCAAAATAGTTAAACCCTTAAACTTACATAAAAATATTTTGTTAATGGCTTGAAGGAGACTCCCTGATGTAATATAATGAAACTTCATGTCTCAAGGTTCTTAGTAGACAAACAGCAGTTAACAAGCAATTTCAAAAAGTGATTCCGAAAGGAAATATGCAGACCCTGTATCCTCTACATATTGCTGAATTTTTGGACGGCAGCAGACATAGACAGTACTACTTAGAAAGTCAATAGAAGGTAACTCAGCAATTCCTTAATTGCATTCTTTATCATATACTCTTCTTTGTCATTCCCTGAATTTTATGAAAAGTGCAGATATTGTTCTCTTTGTACTATTTAACTCTTTTCTTTTTCTGCAAAAAATCCATTAAGCAGAAAACGTTGCACATCGCCCTTTAAAGAAATCCTAAGATTGAAGTCTGGAAGCATTCTGTCCTGTTTTTTAGCATTCAAATAAAAATTGGATTCAATCCAAATCCTTGGCTAAATTATACAATAGCTCACTCAGATGCCTGTTTTCTTCAATCTCCGGTAGCTTCACAAAGAAACTGGAGTACTGCAGCAGGATTGGAAAAGGCTGATACATGAGCTTTCAAATAGACAATGCTAATGTAAAATGGCTACAACAACATACTTCTATAATTAGCTCCCTATTCTCTCTCCCCTTTGCACAAAATATTAGAATATTTTCCCCAAATTACAATTATTAAGATATGGAATAGCAGTCAGATGGTTGACCAAAACTAAATCATTTAAAAAAAAATAAGATTCCAATAGTAACATATTAGTTTCCAACAGAAACTAAAAACAATCTGCTTTTAATACAAATATACTGAATTTTCAATATTTATTTTATATTTCTCATACAGTACCTCCATTCTTTTATTCTGTATCAAAACTTATTATATTATCTACTAAGCTAGATTTTTTTGGGAAGTAGCTATTAGCTATGAGATCAAATTTTCTGAAAAATAATTTTACAATATTTTTTGAGAAATAATTATTGCGATCTTTTTGTGTGATATGTTCATTTTTCTGTCTACAGTGAATAAAAAGTCTATATACACCTGTTAAAATGCCATGTAAATGTAAAAAAAAATCAGAGATAAATCATATCATTTTTAATATAATGTATAAACTGTACAATTCAATTGAAAAACAAACTGAAATCTTTTAGGGAAAAAATAATAATAAAAATGTACAATAACTTGGTTGCATAAGTTGCATAACCCTTAAACTAATATTTTGTTGAAACATCTTTTGATTTGGGATAGGAGCCTATCAACATGGCAAATTTTGCCATGGGAATTTTTGCTCACTCATCTTGTAAAAGTGCACCAAGTCTATCAAATTGTGAGGACATTCTCTTCAGGTCAGCCCCACAGATTATCAACTCGATTCATAAACTTTGGCCTTCTTTTGTTGATTTGGATTGTTGTTGTGTTGAAAAGTGAAATTATTCTTCATCTTCAGCATTTTAGCAGAGGCTGAAGGTTTTGTGCCAAAATGGACTAATATTTGGAACTGCTCATAATTCACTCCACCTGTCAGGGTTCCAGGAATTATCTATTCTAATCAGTAACTCCGAGACAACCATAATCTCAAAGTGCTTTATTAAAAAAGAAACTTGGCACGTCTGTGGAATTCCAAAACTAAAGTTTCCTCTCAGACTTCCCACAAGACTCAACCTATACCCACCCCTTTTCTTTCACATCATAAATCACGTGAACCAATCACCCTTCAGCTACAATTCTTCCTGTGCCATAGAGAATGACCTTGAAGATTTTATATATCTATTTTGTCTACTGAAAGCTACTCAAATAACAGCATCCCCCTTCTATCCTCTGCAGCTGTGTGGCAGCTTTTAATAAGGATTCCAAAGCTGACACCACCTTGACTAAATTCCCAGTTCCAGATAAAGAAAAGCAGCCTCAAAGCATAAAGCTTCCGCCATCAAACTTCACTGTGCATATAGTGTACTTTTGGTGATGCACAGTGTTATTTTTGCATCAAATATACTTTTTGGAATTATGCCCAAAAATTTCAATCTTGGTCTCATCAGACCATAGCACATTTTTCTATATGCTTTTGTCAGATTTGATGTAGGTTTTGGCAAAATGTGGCTGAGCCTGTATGTTTTCCTTTGTAAAAAAAAAAGGCTTACATATTTCCACCCTACCTCACACCCCAGATATAGGAAGAAAATGGGAGATTGTTGACATAATATGTATAGTGCATAATCCAAGAGTGTCAAACTCATGGGCTGCGGGCTGGATGAGCCACGGACTGGTGACACCCATCTCCAGTTTAGCGAAGGGGAAAAGTCATGATATGTCATGTGATGATGATATGATGACACAAGTTTGACACCCCTGACACCAGTACTTGCCAAAGTTTCCTGCAGCTCCTTAAATCTTGTGAAGGCCCATTGGATCAGTTTTCTTCTTGCTTTTCATTAATTTTGGATGGACATCCAGTTCTTGATAATGTCACTATTGTGCCATATTTTTTCCACTTGTTGACAACAGTCTTCATTGTGTTCCATGGTATAACCAATGCCTTGGAAATTGTTCTGTACCCTTTTCCTGACTGATACCTTCCAACAATTAGACCTGTTTGATTCTTTATAAACTCTTTGCAGATCGTATCTTTTGCTGTCAGAGGCAACTGAGTCAATCCTACTAGAACAGCTGGATTTTATATGGACTTGGTCAGAGTCTCTTTAATTGATGGTAGATGTGTATTATTTAACATCCCTTTGAATATGATTAGTTACTTCTGCACCCAGCCATTGCCCTACTTATAAAGGGTATTGTTAGTTTTATTATTTTATTCTCCCTAAAAGATTTCAGTGTTTTTCAATTGAATTGTACAAGCTAATATGTTATATTAAAGATAGAAAAAATTCTGAAGTCTGGTTTTTTTACATTCAAAAATGTATTTAGAAATATAAATTATTTGCTTAGCATAACTGAGAATTAACTACGCCATATTCTGTTTTGTGAATCAACAATTGTTATTTTATATTTTGATGTTATTTCTAATAAAAGAATAATATGTGAACATATTTTTGCATTAAAAAATTTTCCCATTCAAAGTGCATATGGAGTGGCTTTGACTCTGGTAGATTTTGGTTGTCCAATTTCAGTCCTAGTATATATTCTGATTCATGAGGATCTTAGAGAACCATCTGATTTGCCTTTCTTTGGGAAGCTTTCCATTACAAAAAAGATCCTCATTCAAATTAGTTGCTTTGGATAGTTTAATCTGGCTCCAAAGGCAGCATCTGCAGAAAGGTGGGTCACTGAATGCATTGACCCAGCAGCTTTGCAAGCTGGCGTACAGATGTGCCCGCAGCTTGAAATCTGGTATGAATTCCTCTGAGTGGTAACATGCAATGTGCCATTCAGTTATTCTGCTGTCTGGATTTTCTCCTTTCCTCATCTCCTTTCCCTGTGCATCTATTCTATCTGTGGTGGTATGCTGCGCATTAAATTTCACAGTATGAATGTTTCTCTTTTTCAAATTATTGCTAATTTATATATTTTTATTTATTAAATTCATACATCTTTGTGAGAATGCTAATTTTTTCAACAGCAGATTAATTGAGTGCAAACAAATGTATGTAGTAGCAAAATATCTCCCAAAGCTAGTACTGAAGAACCAAAGTTTTCATATTCACAGTAGGATGCTTATGGTGACTTCAAGAAATTATACTGGGAATGTGGCTTGCTGTATGTTTTGTCTTTAAATACTCTTTGTTTTACATTGTGCTCTTTGGCATGTAAAAGATTTATTACATTCTACTTAGGAGCAATCTTTTTTGATATTTGTAGGCCCTGGTCCACAGATAGTCTCTTCACGCTTCTATGTATTTGTCCAAGAAATTAATGGAGCAAGGAATCTTAGCAACCAACTGCTGCTAGGGTCTCTGTGTCACAGTTTCTTCTGTTTTTTTGTATGGTGATTAATAGTTTTCCTGAAGATAAATATTTTCATCAAACCCACTGTGAGATGCATAGGTGGGAACACCTGCAGAAATTCCATGTCTTTATGATATACAGTCTTGGGATGAAGAAAGGTTACAGAGTCTGTTTTGTACTATTCATTAATACCCCTTTGTTTACTTCAGTGCCCACCATATGGATTTAAGATTCTGTAACAAAAAGAGCAGCCATATATGTCAAAGCCAATAATTTAAACTCTGGAGAATGTAACTTAAATGAAAAAGGACTTGATGTTGTGCTTTGGAGAAAGTTTGTAAGATTCCTGCTATATATTGCATGTTAGCCTAATCTGGCAGGATTATACTAACTGCATGTTAACATACTGAGGTAAGACCTCCAGTGAATAGATGTAGCACATGTATTTATGAACAATTTGCAATTACTAGTGCAACTTGGCTGCATTATGATGGCTGTGTCGCTCTAATAGGACTAAAAAAAAGCCACACTTACACACAGTTCTATTTCTCAATTCACATACCTTCAAATATTTTTCCCAGCCTCTGAAAGGTTAGAGATTCATTTCATCATATACATACAGTGATCTCTGTGGTTAGATATTCAGTGCTTAAGGCAGTGCATAGAGCTTGAATTCTTTATTCTTTGATAATACAATATTACTTTGCTAGCAAGAAATGATGTTGGTCTTTACTAGTTTTACTAAATACATTTTCATTGTATTTTTTGTTGGTACAGATTCCAGTTTACAGATTTGCCAACACAAATCACCAACATGTTGCACTAAGAAAATGGAAGAAAATTATCAAGCAGCTGTTAGAAGAGAGAGAATAGAGAACACTCAGACTCTAAACTTTGAATTGAAATATATGATTGTTGGTCACATTACAGCTTTTCAAGGTAGGAATGCTGACAATTTTATTTAAACATTTAAAATCATGTTTGCTATATCACTTATTCCAACATGGTAATACTAGTCAAAGTGACTATGGGTGCCTTATACTTTAAAAGAATAAATAAAAAGAACAGACGTGACTGTGATTGTCTCGACAAAATATACTACATATATTATAAAAACACAAGAAAGGCTCTACAACCACCATTTCCCAAAGCCTGGGAGAGAGCCAGATTTTAAAAGACTTTTGGAGCAGAATAGGGGCAAAAACCTAAAAACACAATATAAAAGAAACAGTTCTCTAACATTGTCATCAGTCCTCAGTATTCAGAGATGCACTTATGAAATACAAGTTCTGCTTCAATATTGTGCAACGTCATATATCTAGAAATGTGATTTTAGGAATGGGTGTGCGTAAGGTAATGCTTGACACCTAATCATTTTAATACTTTCAGCATTATAGTTTGATGAAAAGCATTACATTAAAGCACATTTTTTACTTTATGATAAAGTACAATTTTAAGGTAGCCTCCCTCTTTAAAAAAAGAATACAAGAAGTTATATTACCTGTATTTATAGAGTGTGTCCTTTATTCCCTTCCCCCAGTCCTTCTATGCTGCCTTATTGTGGCAAGGGGATATTCCTGGGAGGGATAAGTGCTGAGAATGCATGGCAAGCCTATCTATTCCCACAGGGTCACTCAAGGTATGAAGGTTATCCTGATTACCCAATTACAGCAAGCAGACTTCTGTGGTGGGGCAGCAGCAATGTAGGAAGATGTTGGAGGTAAATGTTGACTTAAGTGATAATGGCAATGTCTAGTTGCTGATGTTGCCACATAAGAAAAGAAAACCCAAGCTGCAAAGGCAACCACAGAGGGAAGACAGAACATAGTGCAAATGAAATGAATAATCTACACACTGATAATTTAGGCTTCAGTGAACTGGACTGGAGTTGGACGAGTTCTGTCCAAAACACACTGATTATTATTCAAGACCATTTTTGAGAAACAAAAATGGAATGGCACTGCTTTCATGATTATGAAGGATATAACTAGGACAGCACATTGTTACAATGTTGTCTACAACTGAATAATATCAGTTACATTATGCAGGCAGACTTTTATTATGATGACTATCCAAATTTCTGTTTCAAGCACTGATGCAGAAGAAGGGGTAGTTGACGAGGTTTCTGAACAAGTTCAGACTGAAATGTGTGAACAAGAACATGGGAAAAAGATGTGTTACTTATGGTTAAAGACTGGAATGCCAAAATTAGAAACAGAAAAGAAGAAAATGCAAAACAATTTTATCAGTTTCTGCCAGTGCAATGTCTTCTTCATTGCTAATACAGACATATAGTCAAGCTAAGTCAAGTCAAGCTAAGTCAAGCTAAAGAAGAAAGTGGGAAAAAGCTAACTGGTTACAACTAACCAGCTAACTGGTTATAATCTTGAGACTATATGCACAATTTTCAGGGGGGTGGGGAAATCAGGAATCACTTTGAAGTCTTGAACTTCATTCATAAAATATCCTGCAGATGACCAAGGGTAACAATGAAGACCTTGGAAAAGATATTCTGATACTATAATATGTCTATGTCTATAAAGACCAGTATTGTGTGGACAATATGATCCCTGTGAGAGTTCATGGAAAATTGGAGTTTGAACAAGCAGGATAGGAAGAATATTGATGCTATCAAAAGTATTAATAGCCGAAAATAAAATAAAATAATCAATCTAGGGCTCTATCTCAAGGAAAAAACAATCAAGCTAAAATTATCATATTTGGGACACATTATATTCCAAATTATGTTCCCCTGTTTGGCAAGAGATCAGTGTGCTAAGAGTCAAACTATGCTGTCATTTAAGAATTAACATTGACTTGATGACATATAATCAATCTCCTGCCACTATTACGCTTCCATTTTGTAGGACTGGTTTCTGTATGATTTCTGTTTTGTGGGACTGGTCCTATATTCTACAGAAACATGGAATAAAATTATGGTGTCATTAATTTCTATATGAACACAGAATAGGTGTTGCTGTAGATTAAGGAGAACTTCATACTATTCTTAATGAACAGGTTTTCATATTTTAGGTAATTTGCATACCAGATCACAAGCAAAACAACAGCAGGCAGCTGTTTCCACTTGTTTGTCCCTAAGGGTTTCACACTTTTATAAATGTATTGTTACTTGGATGGATAGTAGAAATTTGCTTTGGCTGTTTGGTATTCTAAACTGCAAGCAATAGAGGAGGGGAGCTGGGATGAAGGGGTGTGGAAGAAGCAATTTGTTTTATTTCACTGCCTGGAAGAAAATAGTCTTCCACATAGTTCTGAAAATCGAGTCCCATTTGACTCCTCTGCTTGCCAAAGGGGAAATACAGAGCCATTGTTGACTGACAGTGAATTAGTCAAGTGATCTTTCAGCATCATTATAGAATAAAGCAAAGGTCAGAATAGATTAACCTGTCAGACCCTGAGGTCAGTCAAGCAGCTTTATTGCTTAACTGAGTGAAATCGGTCATTAGACTTTTCAAAGTAGCTTGAATTTACAAGCACTTTCCTGAAATAGCTGCCATATTATTGTATTGTAAATGATTATAAACTTGTTTTGTCCACCTTAGGTGAGAATATGCCAGCATTTCAGCTTTGCCTTCTTAAAGTCTCAAAGGGTCATTTGTTCCTTGAGTTGGTTGAGGTTTCAAAAGGTGCTTTAAATCCTTTATTCAGATGACACTGTATCCACATTCTATTGCTCAAGCAGGGATCTTTGGTTTTCATTTCTTTTTTCATTATGAAATAATTTCCCCTGCATTTAGCTTTGTTTATTGTTCTGTGACATCATTATGAAACATTAAAGGCAGCATGCCTCAAGCTGATCTGCTGACATAAGCCCCTTTCACTTTTTTATGAGGAAAAGTGTTGTGCTGGTGGAACTATTGATACTTGGGCTGAATATCAAATTAGCCAATTCAAACCTCAATAATTGGTAATATGTATTTCTAGGAACCTATGATCTTTCCTTTTCTTTCCTTTCCTTTCCTTTTTCTCTCTCTCATTAATATTTCTTACATATCCCAGAATGTTTCTCCTGTTTCTTTAAATTTTAATTTAGATGAGATAACAGATGACTTTCTAAGCATTTTTAGTCAGATTTCTACAAAATAAGATACATGATGCTCTACCTAGAAAACCATGAACCTATTGTTTCAAGCCCACTCTTTAGAAGGTAGGAAATATAAAGTGCCCTGCTACTGATATTCCCAACAGAAAAGTTATGTTTTAAGCAGCTGTTCCCCTATCGTGTTGCTTTGATTGACAAGTAGGAATAACATGTAACTGAAGTAGGAATAACTGTAGAAAATGTAAAGTTGCATTATTCTTTAGTTATATGAATGTCTTTAGGCTTACATCCTGGTAATAAATGTGGTGAAACATCAATATTCATTGCATTTGTGGAGGCTGATCAGAAGCACTACTTACGATGACCTTTTCTCTTGGAGGTTCTAGTTGTCATGCCTGAAGCAGATTCAGAAAATTCTGATGATGAAAAACCTCCTCTGGCTGAGGCCTGCAAATCAGCAGCAATCAAGTATCTGAGGCTGACTCCTCCAGAGATCATCCAGACTGTGCTGGCAGTCAAATGATGAGGTTCTTGTTCCCAAGCGATTGCCCAGGCCTTGTATGCAGCCTATAGTCCAGAGAACACAGGTATCTACTGTGCCTTCTTGCAGACAAGATGACATTAGTCTTAATTAGTTCCCACCTGGCAATAGCCCTACTCAGCCTGGCGCTATTGGGAAAAATGAAGCCAAACTGGACAACCTTTCCATGAATGCCTTGAATCTTGAATTTGGAGGGCTCAGTCTTTCATATCATATCATAGACACCATGATGCAAGTTGGTACCACAAGCAGCTTCACTTGATATAATTTGCTTAGATGGGTTGAATATGGTTGGACTAGGCAATCACATTCAACCTCCTGCTCCAGGAAGGATCACAACTCATATGCTAGCTAAAACTGGACAAAGGTTTCCAGGCTGTGTTCTCCATCTACTCTTCTAAGAATGGACATGATTCTAGCAGGACACCAAAGTTATGCATTTATTTTCTCAGAGACAGAGCCACCTATTCAAAAGAAAATATGAGAGCTGAGAGAAAAGTAGCCTGTTTCATCTCATCCACATAATAAAACATCTATTTTCTAAATGGCTTGAGAAAATTTTTAACAGCAACTGCAGTTATTATGTTTACTGGCAGCATATTGGCAGTATCACCAGACTAGTGATGGTATCACAGCTTGAATCATCAGGTAATGTCACCCCATGCCTTAAGATCAGGAAAAGGCTGACCCATGTAATATTTCAGTTAGGCAGACTTCTTCTTTACTACCTCAGCCTAGAAATTCCTCAGTCCTCAGCAGTTTATGAGGATATCATGATCAATGTTACCAACAGCCTCTAAGAGGCCAAACAAGACTAAGAGAGCTATGTTCCACCATTCAGGATCCTAAGTGCTCTATCTGCCTCATGACTGTAGCAATGTTTAAATTTGATGGTTACCACTTAAATTTTATATGGCTTACACTTTTATTATTTTCAGAACCATCTTTTCCAGATAGAATCTGCCAAGTGCCCATGGCCTAGTAGAAAGGATGATGTGGGCCCTTAGAAATTGAGGTAGCAACCCCTTCATTCTCTTGTCCTTCAAGGAATTGGGGAAGATAGTCCTTTTACATTTTTGAGTAAGATGATTTTAATCAAGACAGCAAGAAATTCTTTTTGTTTTAGTTGAAATTATTTTTATGGATGTTTTAACCCTGTAAATTTTAATCTATCAAGAAATCCACAAGTACAGATAGTAATAATGAATGAATGAATAAAAAAGCCATTTTCAAACTAGGTCCTTTTAAGAACAGATCTTTTAAAAATTCTATTGAGCTAGTCATAATATTATGTGTACTCATTATCACTCTGCCATTGGCATAGTTGTCTTATAT